CGAAGGGTATAGAGGCGGCATTGGATCCGGAGCCTAGGATTGTGACTCCGACTCAGATGATTAATCTAGCAAGTAAGGTTTCTATCATTTTTTTAGCATCTCCGACAGATTCCCCATCTTCTTAAAATACTCAATTTTAGGAAATATAGAGCTATTTTTAGGTCAAATAGTTTCTCCACCACATTCCCTAAAATGAGAGGATGGAGAAGAAAAAAAGAGGGGTTTTTTTTCCCAAATCTGCAGCATTCTGCAAAAATTCTTCATTCTCCAAATTCTTGAAAGTAACGTTATCATAAATATCTCACATTCTCCAAAGAAGAAAAAAAAAATATATCTAATACTTTATTGAGTTTTATATTGTTCTAATAAAATATCAAACATTTATTTTCTTAATAATTATTGAGTATGTAGGATGTTTTATAATTGTAATAAATGCCTAAATCCCTAAAATGGGGAAGCTGTTGGATTTGGAGCAAATTTTTTTTTAGAGAATTTGGCAATTTGATTCCCCATTTTAGAGAAATTATGGTGAAGCTGTTGGAGATGCTCGCTTTTGTTTCTTTGTTTATATTTTGGATACAATGGTCTTTTTTAAGGAATTTTAGTATAGCATCTGGGGAGAAAGATTATTGTTTCTTTTTACCCGGCTTGGACCTTGTAAATCGTGTAGTTTCTATTCTCTTCCTCGTCGTCATCATCTGGTAGTGAATACAAGAAGACTTCTCGAGAGATCATTAGAATACTTAGAGATAAGCCAACAACAAACCGATATGACACAGATGAAAGAAGCCAATCCTATCTTCATAGTACCAATTGTGTAGATTTATACTATTCCTAAAGAAATTATTTGAATTATATCTTCTGGCGTACGGAAGTTCATCTTTTTTGTAATTGCAATACTAAATGCTGGATCTCTTAATCCTTATAAAGTTGATTCAAGTTAATAAATAAATGAACAGGATTTTATAATTTCCCCAGTCTGTCTTATTCCTTTGAAATAGATTTTCTTATTTATTGTTAAAGATAATATTCAGTTTTATCTATTTAAGCTTTTTTTAATAATTCCTTATTATTCTTTACACAGTTCTTAATATTTACCCAGCAGATAGTTTTTCATGATTGTTTATTAGTTTAAATCAATTGTGGATATTTTAGATATTTTCGGTCAGTCCATAAGCGTGGATATGTGTTCCATTTTGCAGCTGGGGTCCCAATGGAGAACATCCATTATCTTGGAGGCCCAAATATTGCCTCTGAGATTTATAACAAGGAGTATGGTAATGCTCGAATATGTGGGGCTGACAGATGGAGGAAACCTCTGGCTAAGTTTCTGAGGCAGCCACATTTTATCGTATGGGATAACAGTGATCTTGTCACACATGAAGTCATGGGAGGCTTGAAGAATGTCTATGCTATTGGTGCTGGTAAAGTAGTAATTTTTCATCCTGTTCTTCAAGAGAAAATAATAATTATCTATATGATACCTTAACTGTGCGTGGGCAACCATTTAAATCCTCTAATTATCAATACAATGGCTTGAGTAAATAAATTTTAATAGATTCTGCCTGTTATATTCAAATTGTTTATATATTCTTGCATTGGTTGTCTGTTAGTATGCCAAATGGCTGGATGGACTTCTTAGATGAAAAGTTGACACTGGATAATGCATGTTTCACATCTTAAATTGATGCCTCATTATATAAATAGTTGGACACTGTATTATTGTAGGCGGTTCAATGAACTTTATACTGTCTCTAATGCCATGGTCAAATTCTGCATCCTTCTTCGCATCAGATATAAAGGCTATGGTCTAACGGATTTGATTCAGTGATCTATGAAGATTTGATACAATATTGATTGGCAAGTTCAAGACAAATTGAAAGGAATGAGCCCTCATAATTGTGTTATTTCTTTGACATAATGTACCAATTTAACTTGGGGAATTGTAGGTTTACATAGTGAAGTCAAGCAGCAATATCATGCTTGTGAACTATCTTTTACAAAACCAGTGGTATTGAATTATGCGAGACTTAAAAATACTATTCGTTCATTGTTTCTCAATGTTGATAGATCATTAGAATTATAACCGATTAGTTTTCACTATGTAAATCATATATAAGGCAACACAGCAGAGTATCGAGAATACATGTCGAAATGTATTCCATCAAGAATTTAATTAGTACCTGATAGTTGACTTCTTTAAAATGCCTATTTGATCTGACGCACATTGTCAATCTGAGTAGTGTTCGTGCTCTTTCATGGATTTCTATCCCCTTTACACATTACCTCACAATTATTCAGTTGAGGATGGTTTATAAACAAAGTAAACCAAAGTTGCTTTTGTTTCCAGGCATGGTAGCAGCTCTAACTAATGAGAGCGCCACGAGCAAATCAGTGTACTTTGCACACTGCACGTCTGAAATGATATTTATTACACACTTGCTGACGGAAGAGCCAGAGAAACTTGCTGGGCCATTGCTAGCTGATACTTATGTTACACTACTTAAAGGTCGCAATGCATGGTATGGGCAGATGCTTGCCAAGGGGCAATTGAATTTGGACATGGGCGATAGTATTAAAGGAAAAGGAACTATTCAGGTCAGTTATCTAATATCTTTAATCAATTTCATATGAAGCATGTCAGAGAAAATTATGACCTTCATAACTTCATTACATGTTTACACAGAGTAATGTTAACTACAGACGCTGCACCTAGTACAAAGATGTGCCTCTCTTATACAGATTGTGCTTTTGAGAAATTTTGGTTGCTCAGTTGCAGTGTGTATGTCAGCTAAATGATGATCTTGAGGCATCTTACCTGCTAATTATCGTATAAGTTTAGGGTTTCACAAAACCGTGCTGAACTTTGAGGACACCCTTGAACTTTGTAACTCAGAGAGAACCCCCTTGAAATTTTAAAATTATACGAAAGCCCCCTGAACTATAGAAAATTCTCAAACACATCAATGAATAGAGTAAAAATCTAAACTACGTTGATTACTTTTTACTACCCTTACTTGAATGACAACATAGAAATTAAATGGGGGATAAAGTTCTCCAAAAGTTCTCACATGAAAAGCATGTGACAGTGAGGCATTGCTTGCATGGTGATCTGCACAATGTTGTTGAAAAACAGTTGTAGAGGCTTTATCATCTCCACTGAACTGAAATATCTTTGAGGATTTTATATTGGTAAGGACAGATAGCTTGCATGGTGATGTTTGTACAAGCTATTGCTTTCTTTTATTTTATTCTTATACCACTTGCTGACATCTCCATAAATGTTCATTTTAGGGTGTGTCTGCTGTTGATGCATTTTACAAGCTCCTCAGTCAATCCAGCTTAAATGTACTGGATCCTGAAGAAAACAAACCAGTTGCTCCAGTTGAGCTCTGCCCCATCCTCAAAACCCTTCATAAAGTATTGATAACAAGGTCAGCAAAATTTTAACTCATTCTGTCTTATATGTTAATCTTTATAATGATGAAGTTCATTACATTTTCTTTATATTTTGTTTAGGGAATTTTCAACTGAAGCAGTTCTTCAGGCTTTAAGAGACGAGACAATGAAAGATCCTCGTGATAGAATTGAGTTAGCACAAAGCCACACTTTTTACAGGCCATCACTTCTTCGCCAACCTTGAAATAGCATCAATCAATGTTTTAGAAAGTGTAGAATTGAAGAATTTTAGTGTGTTTGTGAATGTAAACTGACCTGTACTGTGTTTATTTCGCTTTTAGTGGCATAATACTATGAAAGACATGTAATAAACAGTTTTCAGTTAATGAGAAGTCTGTTTCTCTTGCTCTATCTTCAAAATACCTTCATTGCAATACCTTCATTGTTATAGTAATTGTCATTGCATCAATGTAAAGCTTCAATCTGCCGTATTATTCAGGCCAATATTCATATGTAACAGCTAAAGTTTGTAGTAACAGAGAAGAAATGATGTCATTATAAATTACAAGTAATCTTTGTCAAAAGTTACAAGATCTCTATAAGCTTGCCTACAGGAAAATAGAGCTACGCATCACCAGTTCACCCACTGTTAAACAATGAATGGTAACTGGCAAATCTCAGAAACAAATTTTAAATTTCAGCTACCATGAGAACTTCTCTTGCACAAATCATACATAAATTCCTAAGCCAACCTCTTTTGGATCAGTCTCCACCATCCATGGAGCCCTACAGAGAAATAAATGCATAAAATCTCAAATGCTCTGTGAAAATACGAAGAAACATTATATCTTCAGATCAATTCAAAATTAGGAAAAAGATTGTACTTGTGCATTTTGAAATTAGTAGTTCCTTGTGATGCTCGTTCGAGAAGCAAAGCCCTTGCTTCAATCGGAATTCCCTCAGGCTGCACAAGATCAAAATTACCAGTTTACCACCGTTAGAGCTGAGAGCCATTATTGGTTGTATTTATACATACTTTTATCAATAGGGTTATTTGCAGATAGGCCTCCTATGCTATTGCCCAATTGCTGGATAGATCCTCTGTACTTCTATTGTTGCAGATAGACCCCCTGATAGAAATATTTTGACTCTTTTACACTCATGTTTTCTATCCGCATTTGCTTGATAGATAGTATCGGTAGTCTATCCACAACAATAAAACTACAGGGGGTCTATCCACAACAATAAAACTACCGGGGGTCTATCCACAACAATAAAACTACCGGGGGTCTATCCGCAACTGCACAAAGTACAGGATGGTCTGTCCACAGTTATCCCTGTAATTTTATCAAGATGAAATACCTCCTCTGGGAACCAAACTCCAGGTTGCGTGCTCCCCTCAAGAATTGCCATGGCAAATGCAGCTATTGATATTCCCACTGATCTGATAACATTTTTAAGCATAGGCATATGAATATGAAACCAGACAATCCATAAGAAAGAAAAAAAGCCAGATGTAGAGTAGAACATAAGGCTTCTCCTAGGGTAATCAGAATCAATGCATGTTGATGACTTGGATATAGAAAGTAGATCTGAGACAAATCGCATCTAGAGAAACCCCGCGTCAGGAAATTAAAAGCTTGGTATGTATTTATCAGAACTTACTCTGAGAGTTTTTTATGAGTAAACAAACCAAGAGTAGTTCTCCCATTAGAACATTCCAAGTCTATCTGCATCAAATTAAGAAAAGATGATATCTACATATGCTATCTATGTTCAACAGTAAGAATCAGACAAGTAAATTAGTAAACAGCCCGAGGCATGATAACCAGTTCACAATTATGATGAAACTCATGTCGTTTGTTTTATTTACCCTCATTGATACTCGTTCACCTGCAATGCCATCGACAGCTCGCACAAGAGGGTCAAAGAGTTTTACGAATTGTTGGACTTTACTTCTATCTCTGAGTACCTCCTGTGAGCAACAATTTGAGCCATAGTGGTTAGAATGGGTTGTTGTATCTCCATCGTGATGTACAAACTACATATATGAATCTCAACTACACGTTAAAATACATGGCATTTGTCACAATAGTTTCATTCAAGCCAAAAGTTCAACTCCACGTCACAAGGAAAGTCATATTCTTATTATTTGTAAAAGGGTGTTTTGTACACATACCCATTAAAGCATGTGTATTCACAAAACTCCCCCCCCCCCCCAAAAAAAAGAAAAAAAAAAGAAAAAAGAAAATTACAAATTGACTTTGATAGCCTAAATTGTAATTACAATGTAAAAAATATTAATAAAATGGTCAAATTCTTACTTAAGCATATCCAGCAAAGTTGATGATTTGTTAATAAGGGAAATAAATTTTCCAAAGTTGATGATTTGGGGGGTGGTTTTACATATATTGAGATGTGGGGGAAAGTTTTGCAAATATGAATGATTAAAGGTGTACATATACAAAAAACCCTTTTCAAAACGGAATTTCTTTATGAAATAGAGATTGAAATTACATGAGAATAAAAAAGCTTACTGCAGGAATAAAATTTGCCATAGCTTCCATCCCCCAATTCCAGAAAAAAGGGGATGTACCAAATCGAGCGCTTACAGTTGGCACACCTAAGATCTCATGAGCACTTCTGACTTCAGGTAAGTTCCTGAAATTTTCCTTGAACTTATCAGCAGGTAAGAAATAAAATCTGTAAGTTCTAAGATGCATACGCATGGGCAGAAACATTAGGTTTCATCAGTCAGTCCTCTGTCAAAATGATAGAAAAGGTCTTGTTTATATTGAAAAATATTGATTTATCTTGATTAATTCATGGTCAAAGAAGTGTCCATAACATTTTTATTGTACATTAAATGCTTCATAACTTGATGTCCGACCAAAAAGTAAAACATAACAAATTGCACTAATTATCTACAAATGTAACCTAATGCTTATTTTAACTTTGATTTGAATTTACAGTTTGTGGGAACAGAGTCATTGTTATTCGCCATCGGAACATCCATACAATAAAAATAATTTCTCCGTGAGTCCTTTCAAGCTGAACTTACAACAAGAATACATCTCTCTTTCCAACCCCCTTTCCGAAGTCAATGTTGAGCATTCCACTATATGGCTTTAACTTGATTTCATCTCCTAATAAAGAATAGCTGCCACAGTTAAAGAAGATACTTTAAATGAAGGATAGTATTCATAGGTGAATATAATGGTAATATTCTTAGAGCTGACCTTTATTATAAGCAATAACATCCTCTCCGAGGAGCAAGAAACTTGTAGCCAGTATTGTAGGGCCAGCACCACCAGAGCCTGCAGTGTAATAGTAGAATCTGAAGGATCTTTATTAGCAGAGCAAGAACAATAATTAACTAGAATAAAATGAACATAATTGCGCCCTACTTTGAAATGTGACTGCATCTTATAGAAAAGATGAACTGAACAATACAATCATTTTAGTATTATGTTAATTGGTAAATATAATATTACCAAAGACAGTGACTTTAATTTCCTTCAACACTTTGCAGCATGTACTATTTGCATACATAATTTAGGAAAATATGAAGAGGTTAGGAATACGATCACGAAATGGCTTGTTTGCTTAAAACATGGACTAGCAACTGATTTCATCAATGTTTAATAATCAAATATTTGATCGTTCGACAATTCTGAGATTGCTAAACACTCAATTATGCTTCACATTATCCTTTTATCTCGGTAGTTTTTGATTTATCAATATGCTTATCAGTCATTGAGTGCCTTTTATCTCAAATATATTCTCTTGTAATCATCTTCACTCATCCGATTGTAGACAAATTGGTTTGGATCAGTCTTTTTTAACTTGGCAGGATTCAAATTGCCTTCAGGAATGTAAACTAATAGTACATCTGCCTTATTCTTAAAAACTAGGCCTATGCTTTTGAAGTAATTAAAATTTTTTGCCTGATAATTATGTTTGGATTTCATCGGTTAAGTTTGAATTCATAAGGTTAATAATACTTTGGGGAAATCAGAGAATGTACCTTGCTTTTTATCAGTTATAAGAAAAGAAAACATTGAGTAAATACGCTAGCAAATGTGGAAATAGTAAAGGACATATACTCTACATAAGTTAATAATTCAGAACAATAGAGATCTTTAACTGAAAACACTTGCAGGAGGAAATGCAAGGTAATTCTCTCTTCATGATAAAGTACAATGCTTAATTTACATCTCTCTGGGAAAAAATTATCCCAAATTTGTAGCTTTTTTCTGTTAAAACTGTATTATTAACTTTATTGTTTAGTCTTGAAAAATGGGTAAGTGGGTACCAACCTTAGTCTCTCTGGCTCACCAGCATTTTCTTCGCTTCTGACTTTACGAACTAGCTCAGCCGCCATGACTGTCAGTATAATCAAATGTTGTTAAGAGTTTGATTAAAATCATACACATATAATGAAAATTCAATTATTATAATCATCACATCACAAAAATGTAGTATGAGTTGTCAAAGCAACGAAAATATGACAATGAGAGACAAGAGCCAAAATGCGCAATATGTTTCCTGGAAGTTCATCTACCAAATATTTTCCAAGAGGAAAGTACATAAACTGCTCACATACTTTAAAAGAACATAAACCACTTAAACGATCCAGTGTCCCCTTTTGTCTGCAAGTTGGTAAATAGGGTTAGTAGTAAACATTGTTTGGTCATTTGAATATGATCTTGTGCCAAGCAGTCAACCACAAATGGCAAAATGGAGAACATGTTGCTTAAAAATAGAAAGACAGTATGGTTTGGCATAAAATGAAAGAGATTGGAAAAAGGACAGAGTTTATATTTCCATCTTCCATCAGCACAAACTTTGTACATTTACCTAGGTTTTGCTTAAAAATAGAAATGTTACGCTAAATCAACAATTACACTTTAATGTTCTACGTTTCAAAAAGTAACTCCTAAACATAAGAGATTGCATTGTATCATCAAATGCAGAATCAGTTACATCAAGTAGATAGAGAGATGTAATCCTTATTTAAACAGAAGTTAGATACTGATAGAACACTAAACCACAAATTTTCCACTGAACTTCATGTTAAATAGCTGGAAAATACAACTTCCACAGGCCATATCATTAACTAAGATTGTTCAAATCACATGGAAAAAGGTGCTTTAGCAACAAATTAACTGTACATTTTCTTGCCTTTTCACAGTTTTCAAGCTAACATTGCGTTAGAATATATTTTATTACTTTCTCATTCATGAAAATTAGTCTTCTTTAGACCTATAATTTGTTTCTTGTTTTGCAATTTGTTGAAATTCAGTCTTGAGTAACCTGTAAATTTGATACAGGATGCAAAATGACAATCAATATATGAAAGTAAATAATCATCAAATAGAATACAGGTGATGAATGAGCATAAAATATACCATTCCAGAAGATTTTATGCATCAAGAAGCAACAGCAAGTTTAATTACTGTATTGATAATTGTTAAATGCATCAATGAACTAAGTGAAAAGCAGGACCATTGCTCACTCCAGGATAAATCCCGCCAGTCGTTATAGCTGGAACTCCAGAAGAAACAGCCTTTTCGTGAAAAGATCTTGCTCGCTGTGCATAATTTGTATCATCGCAAACATCCAAATATGCAGTCTGTTTTAGCAAAACCAGAAAGCTTGTATTAGTGGAACGTCATTTTAGGACAATGAAATGGCAAACAGCATAGAGAAAGTTAATACATTCACCTTAATAAAGTTTTAGAGAGAGTAAGTCATTATCACCTTAGTATTGATCGCAGCTTCCAACACACTGCAACTCCCTCCCTGTTGAAAAGGCCCAGCTGCATGAACTACTAGATCCACTCCTGTGTTTAGAAAGAGGAAAATCATAAGAACAAATTTTAGCGATGCCAGAGAACTATAAGTAATCTCAAGACAACATAAGTAGAGGTTTGTCAGGACATTGCTAAGGGCTTTATGATTTACAGCACCAAACACAAAAGCAGACTTTAGTTCTAAAGAGTAGCTAATACCAAACTGAAGTCTACCACCATATGAGAAGTGAAAGCGAAGAAAATCGAGTCATGATATTATTAGCGATTGTAAAGCACCATGACTATTATTTGATAAAAGAAAGATCACCTGGTGTTTGGCATAAAATTGTTGAAAGGTAATACATCAAAATTAATTTCGTCAAATAATCTCCTAAATGGTTGGTTTTGAAATTTCCATTTATGTGTATTATTCTGGTTACAAGTTGTCGCATTAATAAAGAGTTTTCCGTTATCATCTTCAGGGCAACTATGACAGCGAGGGGGTAAAAGCAAAGAATAACTAAACTTCATGACAAGGATAAAGCTTCAGTGAAAATAATTTGACTGAGAAACAAAAGCATGAGGCCGATGAGATGACCATGTACTCAACAATATGATTCAATGCCGAGAAGACTGAATACCTCTCATTGCTTCTTCCAACATGCTTGAGTTGTCAATGTTCACTTCAATAAACTCAGAGTTCCTACCAAGTGTAGACACTAGAGCAGAACCCTTTTCCCTGTAGAGAATATGAACAAATATGTACAAATTTGGCACGAGAAAAAATTAGTCTAAACATATATACGAGAATTCACTGAAATGGTACCAGAAAGGGAACGAGAAACTAATTTATGGCTAACTTACAACTTCAAATTAGAAATTTATAGCTTAATTGAAGGAAAAAAATTAGAAATTTATCAAATTTATCCAAACATCCTGCACCAGTCCATGGCCAATTTACAAATTTAGATTAGAAACTTAACGAACTAACCCAATTCAAGAAACTTGGAGAGGGATGAGACAAAGTGAACCTGTTGCGGCCGGCGACGAGGATTTGGAGGGAAGGGCAGAGCTTGGAGAGCGCCGTGGGGAAAGAAGTTCGCGCCATAAAAATGTAGGCCTCGTTATCCTGCTACTTTTGATCTTAATATAGAATCAATCTGAGGTGATTCGGTGATCGACGTCGCCAGCTTCATCGCTGGGCCTGATGAGCTAAAAAGGCCTAATGGGTTATTTGCATATATACCCCTTACAATCATGGTATTTGCAAACTTCCCCGACTCTTAGTATTTTGCAAAATTACCCCTCAAATAATCAACTTTGGTGGAAAATTACCCTAAAATTAACATGTCATCAATTTGGTGACACAAATTTGACTATTTTGTTGATTAATTTTATATTTCAATTATAAATTAGCTTTTCAAAGTTGATGATCAATTGCTTTGAGAGTAATTTTTTTAAAATTTGATTGTTTGAAGGGTATTTCTGTAAACACTGAGATTTGAAGCATATTTTTGTAGATACCCATGATTTAAGGGGTATATATATGCAAATAACCTAAAAATAAAATAGATTGATAACTAGCAGCTTTGCTCGTACAAATGCAAGTACAAAAATATTAAAACTTATTTATCTAAATTTTATATTGAAAAAGATAAAATGTATAGTCATAAGAGTAGATTTTAATATAAACTGAATTATATGATCTTTTTTACTTATAATTATAAATGGTAATGTTATACTGTTTAAGTTTGTGCTTCGAGTCCATCATTCATTTTGAAATTTCTAAGATTTAAAATTTTATGTTTTAATTAAAGAGACTTTAGTACTTTGTTGTCCACAACTGGGAATTTTAGAGGAAATTTTAATGTTGAATTTGATATACAATAATTCTTTCAAAAAATATGTAAATCTTACTTCTAATAAAATAATCAAATAATTGTGTTTGATTATTTTATTTTTATTTTTACTTTGTATTTGAAATGATTATGTTGCACAAATAACTCGATAAATTTGGATCTCCTTGCAGAATGTTTACTTTTAAGAGTTTTTTAATTGATTTTGTCAGGGAAGGAATGTGTGAATTTAAATTGTGAGAGAAGAAAAGATAATGTGCAGGAGAGTATTATGCATTTTATATCCAAGTGAAAAAGACAAAATTGCCCTCTTCACGTGGATGATTATCAAATGACCCCTTAACTCTCAAAATATCAGAAAACCCCCATTTAGGGATTACCAAAGTTAAAAGGGGGTTTTCTGATAAAATCTCAAGGTTAAAATGGATTTTTTAATAAAATATTAAAGTTAAATGAGAGTTTTCTAATAATCTCTATACTTCCGGGTTTTTTATGATATTTTCAAAAAGTTATGGGTTTTTTTTATAATCTTCTAAAGTTTTGGGGTGAGTTTTGTTTTCCTTTTTTTCTTTGGGTTGTTGGGTTTTCTTCTTCTTCTTCTTTTCTTTTTTTATTTTTGTTTTGGGGTTGAGAATTGGAGTCTCACAATCACTAGTCAATATCCTTTTCTCTCATACCGGAATATTGAAATGATAATCATTTAGTAAACAATGTGGAATAAACTCAGTTTAGAAAGTCTTGTAAGCAACTAGAAAAAAAATATGGGGTAAAATGACAAATAGTCAGATATTAAATTTAATTCCGTGTAAGTACAACAGATTTGGGAGGTCAGGATCAAAGCTGCGAACCCCCTCATCAAAGATTTTGCCACAAATATAAGAATTAATCAGTACTCAGTAATTTGCAAAATTTTACTCTGCAACTCCCAGTAAATAAAGCTAGAGGCCTGCTTGGTTGCCAATTTTTTGGGGCTGCTGTAATACTTTTTTTGGTTGCTGGGTTGTAGCTACTGCACGTTTTTAAACAACACTTCCATGGATTTGATCCATCACAGGAAAATATAAACAACACTAGATAGACAAAGTTTGCATCAAGACCACAACTTTGCACCGCGTTAAGCCCCTGGTCATAAGTATCCACAAGCTTAATAAATCGTTGATAGACAAAGTTATCGACACAATATTCAGGCAAAAAGCAAGTTAGTCGCCACTTTACCATTTTCCGAACTATTCAACAATTTCCACCTCTAATGTTACACCCATATCAATATCTGAAACAGGAAAAGAAAAAAAAAAGAAACAATTATATGAATAACTGTTTCTACTCTCATACGAAGCTACAAGTTAAAAGATATTTATACAAGAAGTCAGTCTACATAAAACTAAACCCTACCCATCACTCCTAATAACATTTAACCTTCTTCATTATCATAATCCTCATCCTCTTCATCTACTCTATTACGATTCGACAATGAAAGCTTAAGAGGCTCTACAGCCATCTTATCCATATCAGACAATGGCAAACCTCCGTACTCTTCATACTTCAACTCGCCTTGTTCTGCAACCTTAACAGATGACGCTGATGTATCTCCTTCCTCACCCCACTGTAGATTCAAGTCGAAGTTTCTGACAACTCCGCCAGCTGTTGATGTCTCCTTCTGCTCTCTCGCATCCGGTCGCTCTTCTGAGGGTTTCAAATCTTCGAGTTTTTGCTCTTCGTTGTGTTGTGGAGAGGTTCCTGGGTCGTCTTCGAATCTATCGTAGCGACCAGCTTCGCCTCCACTGCGGCCGCTGCCTCGAGGCCGGCCTCTCCCTCGAGGTCGACCTCGTCCTCTTGAGATGGTGTTGGTTGTCTCCTGCTGCGGCCATCAGAGAGAAATGTTAATCAGTGAAGTAAATTGTGGATAGATCCCTTACACTATCACAAATGTTACATAGATACTTCTATTATGAAGCCGTACCCACACCCAACACGTACTTGACACATACTCGACACCCACACCTAACACGTACTTGACACATACTCGACATGTACCCGTACCGAAAATACATACACTCCTTAGATAAACGCAAACATTTATTCAGACATGCACTTAATTATATGATACATGTTTTAGTTTAAAACACTTAGTCATATACTTACTTGGTCGTATATCCTACACATCACATCCATTTCTTGAAACTCATTAAGACATTTTGTCTCAGCCTATTCCCAAGTTGAAAACTATGATTTTAAAGGGTCATCGGGTGTCCAGTTCAAAAAAGAGAATTTTTAATTTACAATATGAATTTGTTAATGAGTGGGGCACTCGTTAATTGGGAGAGACGTAGAGAGAGGTGATCAATAGTGGGGCACACTACACCGCGCTAATTCTCCCTTCTCATGAATCTTTGTCTACCTCTCTCCTAATTAACTAGTGCCTCAGGGCACTCATTAACAAAACCCTTTATAACAACATAATAAAAGAAACTTAAAAATGTGATAGGAATTTTAATTCTAATAACACATGAATTAAAAAATAAGGACTTCATGCAAATTATTAATTCCAATATGTGTTTAATTAGCGGTGTCCGCATACCCTAAATTTTACAATTTTAAATGTTCTGTTCCCATACCGACGCCTGTACTGGTACTTGTACCTGCTTTTATGCAACTTAGACTATCGTCCACTTGCGGATAGACCCCGTGTAGTTCTATTGTAGCAGATAGACCCC